CTACCCCTGTCCTCGCCGCACGAGTAAGGAACTGGTGTGTCCTGGAAGAGGTTGAGACGCTCTCGGATCACCTGTATATCCGATTTGAGCTCTCCCGGACCCAGGACTCCAGTAGGGGTCACGTGGCGCGGCGTTTATCCCGCTTTCCGCGGTGGGCTGTTGCCAGGCTGAACCGGGACCTACTAGAGGAGGCAGCCATAATTCACTCGTGGCTGTCTCCTCAGGCTCCGACCGAGGAGGTCGACGTGGGGGCTGGCCGCTTTCGCGATGCGATTACGCATGTATGCGATGCGGCCATGCCCCGCGTTCGAGGTCGTCGGCCTCCAAGGAAGGAGGTCTACTGGTGGTCCCAGGAGCTGGCGGACCTCCGTGCGGCCTGTACACGTGCCCGGAGGTCCTACACGCGCAGTCGGCGGCGTCACCGTGGAGACGGTGAGGAGGACCGGCTTCATGAGGAGTACCGACGGGCGCGGAAAACTCTGAAGCTGGCCATTAGCCGCGCCAAAGAGGAAAAAAGACAGGAGATGCTGGAGGGTCTTAATCGTGACCCCTGGGGTCGCCCTTACCGCGCGGTGCGACAAAAGCTCCGCGCGTCGGGCCCCCCCCTTACGGAGACTCTCCAGCCCAGCTTCCTGCGAGAAGTGGTTGAGGGCCTTTTCCCACAACGGGCGGAACACACTCCCCCGTCGATGGCCTCCCTGGCCGGAGACGACGGGGAGCACGGGGAGGACAATGTTCCGCCCGTCCGGGAATCGGAGGTAGGGGCGGCTGTTCTACGGATCCGTTCCAAGAACACCGCCCCTGGGCCAGACGGGGTACCGGCCCGAGTGCTGGCCCTGGCCCTCAACCACATGGCAGACCGCCTCGGGGAGGTGTTCGACGCTAGCTTGGCGTCGGGACGCTTCCCTGAGTGCTGGAAGAGCGGGAAGCTGGTCCTACTGACGAAGCCGGGACGGCCTGCCGATTCGGTCGCGGCCTATAGGCCCATCGTGCTGCTGGACGAGGCGGGCAAATTGTTTGAGAGGGTTCTTTCTGCCCGCATCGTCCGGCACCTCTGCGAGGTGGGCCCCGATCTGTCGGACGCCCAATTTGGTTTTCGGGCGGGGCGTTCGACAGTCGACGCTGTGTTGCGCCTGAGGGCCGTGACCGAAGAGGCCGTGAGCTGTGGCGGCGTGCTGTTGGCGGTGTCATTGGACATCGCCAACGCATTCAATAGTCTGCCATTCAGCTGCATCAGGGAAGCACTCCACTATCATGGGGTGCCAAAGTACCTGAGGCGGCTGGTGGCAGACTATTTAGAGGAGCGTACCGTCGTGTACGAGGACCGAGAAGGTAATTTGAGGAGTCGGTCCATGTCGTGCGGTGTTCCACAGGGGTCTGTTCTTGGACCCCTCTTGTGGAACATAGGGTACGACTGGGCCCTTCGCGCCGATTTCCCCCCCGGGCTGGGTGTAATCTGTTACGCAGACGATACCCTCGTGACAGCCCGGGGGGCAAACTTCCAAGAGGCGGCGCGCCTGGCCACAGGGGGAGTCTCCCTGGTGGTCGGGCGCATTGAGGCGCTGGGCTTACGGGTGGCCCTAGATAAGACGGAGGCCCTGTTATTCCATGGGCCCCGTCGTGGTCCACCCCCTGGCGCCTCCATTGTGGTCAACTCGGTCCTCGTACCGGTTCGGGCCCAGATGAAATATCTGGGCCTGATCCTCGACGGGAGGTGGCTCTTCGACGAGCACTTCCGACAGCTTGCTCCAAAGCTGGTCGGCGCTGCGTCTGCCCTAGGGCGACTCTTGCCCAATATGGGTGGACCCAGCGTCGCGACAAGACGGCTGTACACGGGGGTTGTCCGGTCAATGGCACTGTACGGTGCACCGGTGTGGGCGGCGGCTCTGACCGCCCAGAATAGGGTACGCCTCTGGCGCCCTCAGAGGGTAATGGCGGTCAGAGCCATACGCGGTTACCGCACCGTTTCGACGGAGGTGGCATGCGCATTGGCCGGAACTCCCCCGTGGGATTTGGAGGCGGAAGTGCTCGCCGAAGTTTATCGGCGAGTGGCTGACTTCCGGGCGGAAGGCGGATTTCGCCCTCCGCCCGAGGATGTGCGCGAGTGGCGCGAAGCCGCTCGCCGAGCCACGATGGCTCGTTGGTCGTTCCGGCTGGAGACTCCACGCGCTGGCTTCGCCGCCGTGGAGGCTCTCCAGCCGGTCATCGCCGAGTGGGCAGGGCGGCAGCACGGGACCCTTTCCTTCCGACTGACGCAGGTGCTTTCCGGGCACGGTTGCTTCGGAAAGTACCTGCACACGGTCGCTAGGAGGGAACTGAGTCCCGCCTGCCACCACTGCGACTGCAGTGAGGACTCGGCCCAGCACACGCTGGCGGTCTGCCCCGCATGGGCGGCGCAGCGCCGGGCCCTCACTGCAGTCATCGGAGTGGATCTCTCGCTACCGGCCGTAGTACGCTCCATGGCCGGTAGCGACAGTTGTTTTACCGCGGTCGCAACCTTCTGCGAGGTAGTAATCTCGCGGAAGGAGGCGGCGGAGAGGGCCCGGGAGGACGACCTCCACTCGGACCCGATCCGCCGCCGGCGAACCGGGCGGCGGAGGCCCGCCTACCACAGCCTCATGCCGCCCTGAGTGTGGCCGCGGGTGGAAGGGGTGGGTTTCCCCTCCACCCGCATTTGTTTGGCCAGCCGCGAGGGGGCGGCGTCCGCGTGTGCCGGACGTCGCCTAAAGAGAGGAACACCATTGAGACGGAGCCCGCACCAGGAGCGGGCTGGCGCTAGGAGGGGTCCGGATGTCTTAACAACAGCTGTTCCCGGATCCCTCCTGTGACATGCGCAGAGTGGCACACCGTGTGGTTTTAGTCGGTCCGAGCCCGACACACCACCCCGCCGCAAACCCCGGAGGGGTGACGGTCCGAGGGGATTTCCACACGTTAAAAAAAAAAAAAAAAGGAATGGCATCATAGTTGTTCGTTGAAGGGGACTTCATCCAATGTGGGCGTTAATGGTACATTTGGTTAATGACACGGTCCCCTTATTATCTTCGTTACTGCCCAAAATGTTAACGTTTTCATAAGAAGAATCCAATGAAGGTGAGGTGAACGAACATTACTGATATGATCAATTGTTTGGTATTTACCTACACACTCAATATACAACGCAAATAAAAGTTGGTTAGTGTAAAATTTATAGGAAATACAATAAAAATTTTACCGAGCCGGCGCAACATGTCGCCGCCGCGACATCATTTTGAGTTTTACGAATAGATTTCAGGATTGACAGCTAAATGTACTTTTTTTTACAAAACTAAGATATCTTTAATCATTATAATGTTAAAATTTACTTGCACTGTCATAAATAAGTAGTATATACTTTTTTATAACTAACGTATCCTGGGACACCCAGAACCGATTTAAGGGTTAAAGACTTTATACTCGTATTTGTTTTACATCTTTTGTTTTAGGTTGTGGAGTGTAATAAGTACCTACTTAGAAATAGTGAAGGTCAGTACGGTTAATCAAAGGGTAGAATTTTAATTTTAGTAACTATAATACAATATGCAAATTTTTCTTGCGAATATCATATAAGAGTACATACTGCATGTCTAAAGTGCTTACGGTGGTCACTGTAAATGAATAAACAAGCTTGGTTGTCATGGTTTAAATACTATGCAGTAAACCTACAGTCTTTCTCTTGTACTCTCGAATTATAATTTCTATTTTATCAAATGTTTATACTGTGTGGCCGCCTACTGTTCAAAAAGCGGTGCACTGTTTGGGTGCTAGGGTTCTCCTGGACTTTCTTTGGTTTTGTGAAATAGTAGCCAAAGCCCTGGCAGTACGCTCATTTGTAATGGAAACATCTATAGTTTTTTTGGGTAATTTTTCGCTCTTTTTATTTTACTTCTACTCATTGTCCGTAACATAATAATCTTTAAAAAATTAAAAAATCTTTGAAAACAAACTAAATATGATACATATTCTTGTTATTATGTCATGTGCTTCATTTTTATAATTTAGTATTTTAGAAAAAATACAAACGGTGAATTTTATTTCTGCAGGAGGAGTATGACACTTAAAAATAAAGAATTTAAAGTTTGAATATTAACCCTATTACGCTGTAGTGATTAATAAGCCTTAGGATTTTCTTCCTTATTAGAGCAGTAATAAAGATTTCATGCTTTAGCAAGTAGTAGTCTAAATATACATTAATTAATACCATGCTTGAACTATCTTCAGTAGTGCAATTCTTCGTATCTCTGTAATGATTTTCTATGTTTATGAAGACAAGGTTTATGAGATAATTTGCAATTCAACACATATAAAGAACTTAAAAGAGATAAGCAAAAATATTTAATTCAATCATACAATAGTGTATACTTGATATCGACATACAACCTTGAACTCCGGTTTATTATCTGTTAAATTTCGAGTTCATTATGATTATGAAACCGTGTCATTCAAGTAAAACTAGCAGAAAACACGTGTGAATGGCAATTTTATTGTTAATTTGTTTTGGCTGTTAATTTATTCCTCAAACTGTAACTATAAAGATGTGCTTCTTTAAGTTCTAAGTTTGTTTCTAGATCTAGATAAAAACAGTTTTTAAACACTGGCCTTGTACTAAAGTATTTGTTTAGCCAAAACACAGCTTTTGGTAATAAACGGAATTTCTTAGCGACTATAAGGATATTGCTGAATTACTAAGAATAATATTATTATGCAAACTGCGTTACTACTAGTCGACATTCATGGTTTCCCTTCTAACCAAAGTTTTGTGAATTTAAACTTTTAGTGTTATAGAAGAGTACATTGTAAAGAGACACAGTCATGCACACAGATATTGGTTTGGTTTGGATGGATGCCCACTGTCCAAGGCTGGGAGAGTTGGCGCTCCTTGTCGGAGGTCTTCATTCCGAAGTGGACGGCGATAGGCTGATGATGAAACAACGACGTTTGATGTTGAAGTTGTATTAAAATATTTTAGATTATTTTCGACTTACCACTTCGGCTGCGTAGTGTACACTGCTGAATCTCAACCAGATGCGTTGTCCTGTAGCACCCCACGAGTAAGGGACGTAAAATCGTCGGTCGTACCAAACCACTCCAACGTGATCTCGTAACGTTATGTCCTCACCGACGTCGTTGTATGACGACGGTACCGGCATTGGGATTACTGGACCTGTCTGGGAATGCCAAAATTACTGATGTTAATTTTCGTAGTTTAATTTTTGCTAGGCACATATTCAAACTGTTTAAAATCTGTTTAGCCCGTTATACGCAGTGGTTCTTAGTGGCACAACATCCACAAGGAGCCACAGTTCCTGCCCGCTTCCATAATTTATTATTTGAAACTAATCGATCCCAATTATCCTAGAGACGGTGAATTTTAAATAGTTCAAAAGGTGTTTCTTGTAAAAATATAAAGAGAATAGATGTATATTTGTGCATAATACTTTTATTTATATTTTTAAATATTGACGTGATAATGCGTTACGTGTATGTAAAGTACCCAAATTTTTTAATATCTTATATCCGTATTAAGGTTGTCTATAAGAGTCTGTACTTCGCTGTGGCACATTGTGGTTACATTGATGAGAAATAAGTAATAAGACTGAGAAAAAGTTGATTAAACAATCTTAGAAGCGGGTTGGATAAAGTGACAAAATTTGAGCTCATCAGTGCAGAACTTTTTGAGTTTTTGAAGCGTACACTAAACCACTTAACACTTATCTAAATTATAGATTATATTATTATGTGGTTAGCATAAAATACGATCCACTAGTGTTCTTAGTACTCCTACTATTAAGCGAGTTAGTACCTATATAGAAAATATGTTACATATGTATATACTTTCTATGATTTAAATGTATAAGTAACCTTTTAGTATCCCAAAAAGTTGATTTCAGAGAAACATTTATTTAAAACCATATTATTATGAGCGATAATATTATAGGAACGGAATCGGTTTTTACGTCAATAAATTCAGAATAAATATTTTGGAGCTCGCCATCACAGTAGCCGACCAATCACGAGCGAGCCACGCTACAATCGCGCCCCCTAATCGCTACCCGTGCATGCAGCGCGGAGAACAGAGGAATGATTCTCAGTTGTTCTGTAATTTTCTATAAATACAAAAAAAAATGCTTGATGACATTTAATTCTTAATTTTTTTAAGTCGAGGTCTACTGAGAATAACCAATAACAACTTATTTACCATTTTAGAGTCTGACCATCGAAATATGACCTTTGATCTTTTATAATAACGATGTCATTCGATGTTTGACATCTGCAAATAGCATTTCACGACGTACTTACAATGTTTAATTAAGATTTTGTACATATTTCCGGTTCTTTTTTCTACATTGCAGATTTAGGGGTTTCCTGATAGAAAAATAATAAATTTTAAATTCTCATTAATTCTACTAGTTTATAATATTTACATTGACTGGTATAATAATAATATGTACCTACTTATTTAGACAAGCATTAAACTATGTTGACTATTTTAACATATAATACATATTTAAACATCCAAAACAGAGTTTGACAGGTGAGATTTTACACAAGCAGCTTTTCAGATATCAAGTAAAGATCAACAGCAAAATGTAATTTTTGAAAAATCAACTAATCATCGGGGTTTAAATGGGTCACTATAAATCTGCTAGAAGAAGAAGTACTCGTATAATACTAGCTTTTGACCGCGGCTCCGGCCGTGTCAATGTCGGTTATCGCGGTAAGAAGTATGTCTTTCCTTAAAAATCAAAGTATCTTCATACCAAATTTTATCTAAATCCGTTCAGCGGTTATTGATTCCTCACACAAACTTCCACCCCTCCCTGACAGGGGTGACCCACCCTTTTTTTTCCAATATTTCCTAGAAATATTGTACCTATCTGGCAAAACAACGTTTGCCGGGTCAGCTAGTATGTAATAAAGTTTTGTAATTTGTTCAGTAGTCTCTTTGAAACTTTTATTACTAAAACAATAGCCTTGTTTATTTTATCTGCTTTTTAAAGTCTGTTATCATTATGTTTTAGCGTCGCACACATTTTTGTTACTTACTCACTCCCTATGTACATTATCTTTACCTTTTGTTTTCCTGTGCGGATATCCCCTTGGATACCACCCACCAGTGGTTATGTCGGAGTCGAACCGACCAAAAACCGCACGCCGTCTCCAGGTACCTGTATTCGGGGAACCACGCATACCCTAGAAAGGAAAGCCCTCTTACCCGACGTACCTCCATCGTACGGCCATCTACGGCTTATGGATGACCCTCTCCTGTGTAGGAACCCCTATGTTCCCTTCAAATAATAATCATTATTGGACAATGTACAGCTTATTGTCGCCTGATGGCTAGTAACTACCACCACCCAAGGATACTTGCAACTAAAGAGTCACAAGTGCGTGTACTAGGAAGGGTGGGTTTGGGATCTCTGTAACCTTATTAACTACGGTGAAAATCAACGCAAGAACTTCTTAAAAACGGTTTTCTGTGAGGCCGTGGTATCACGTGTTGAGCCGTCCCATTTGTGCCGATGTATGGCTCTCCCACGGCTAATCTGAATCTAATTGTCAACGCGATCTTATTAAGTATCTTAAAAAACTAAATTAAACTATAACAATAGTCGTAAGAGGTTATTATTTCATGTGAAATATTTGTCCTAAAAAATATTTTTTAACCCCCGACGCAAAAGCGACGGGGTGTTATAAGTTTGACGTGTCTGTGTGTGTATATCTGTCTCTGGCATCGTAGCTCCTGAAGGGATGAACCGATTTTTATTTTGTTTTTTTTTTGTTTGAAAGGTGAATTAGTCGGGAGTATTCTTAACTATATTTGATGAAAATCAGTCCGAGATGGAAGCCGCCACAAACTGGCGGATTACATATTTTTTCACAACTCTCTCAATATTTTTTTTAATTTAATGTCGAAATCACAATACTTGTGCTAGAAGTGGGTGCATGACGCTAGTATACTAGCAAAGTTAAATATAACAATTTCTGCATTACTATAGATAATGCAGAAATTGTTTTATTTAATGTTATATTTAATTTTGACTAAACAAAATTCACAAAAGCTTAAAAGGGCGATAAAAGTCCAATAAATAAAACAAGTCTAAATATAGCAAGTAATTTACGTTCTTTTTATTATAATAAAGTTTTAAAATGTTATGTTACAGAATTTTATAGTACAGCTTCTAAAGTATTTAGCTACTCTCTCAACTTCAAGTGTACGTCTTATTCCTAATGCACGGCCAATGTTTGTGTGTGCACCCGTACGTGATCGTGTTAATTATCGTGTATATAGATAATTAATTATTTATAAATCATACAACGTGAAAGTTTAAAAGTTGTTAAATAATGGTATTATCTCAATTTATTAACAAATAGTTTGAGTTAATAGACCGGCACAAACTATTCGCTTTATTTCTAAAATGAAGTTGTTTTTTTCCAAAAATAGTTTTCGAGCGTGACCATGCTAATAGCTTGAAAGCCTGACTTCATTCAGGGGCTTGTTTTGTTTTTGACGGGTCACCTTTGATAATGTTCCATCGAGGTATTTCCGGAGTGTTTGTTTTGTGTGCATATACAATCATATATGTAAGTTGAGCATAGTGTAATGTAGTAAGACACGCATATGTTCGTGTATTACATTAATTCCTTTTAGGACTGTGTGGTTTAACAGTCTACAAAGTAATGCAGACTAACACATTAAAAAATGCATCAAGGTTCAACAAGGTGGGCTAAAGAGTTTGGTAAGTTATAACATTAAAAATATCAATCTGTCAATCTTGCCTAATATTGAGGACAACATTTTTATGGTTATTAAGTCCGCGAACGTCCTAGGTAGTTTACCTAAAAAGAAGTAAACTGAGTAGGAAGATTTAATACAAAAATTGGATTATAAACCTGTAAAGCAAGAAGTTGGGCAACATAAAGAAGAGTTTAGATGCATAATTTAACACCAAAGATTTTCCGTAACTTTATATCCATGCTCAACAAACCTTAATTTGAACTGAACTTGTGTGGGATACAAAACTTACATCCAGCTTAAATCCATCAATTACTACTTCAGTAACATTTATTTTAAAGTACGTGTATTGCGTCTGTAGGAGTTATAAATTGCAAATTGTTAGCAATATTTCTCTAGTGGGCCTGTTTTGTGATCTTTTTTCTAAGCATTTTTAAGTTTGATTTTTAACATTTGAACAATACCAACATTTACCAAAAATTTTGGGGTAATTAATTTAATCATAAGTAAACTCTGCAGACGTAGTCTATGATAATATGAGAACAAATATTAATGTAATAGGTTAATATTTACTACATTATTATTAATTAGATACGAATATTTGCATGAATCACGAGAAAACAGATTGATACTCGTCCTACCATTCCTACCAAGCCGTTTAACAAACATATGATGCATCCATCTGATGATAAGAAATAACCAGCGCCTATAAATTTCCATTACCAAAAGTATTACGATTTTATATCGAATCCCGATCCCCGGGCCTGTTAATCTAGGGGTCTAGCGACCCTGACTGCAGTGACAGTGGTCGTGGGCTTTCCGATTCCCACTCATGGCACGATCAGTTGTTCTGTGTCTGGGTGTAATTTATCTACACTATGTGTTTGTGTAGAAATATAATTATGTTTTTCAGCAGTCTGTTACCATAGTACAGGTTCTGCCCAGTTTGGGATCAGACGGCGGTCTGTGTGTTTATTATTACTGCAATTTCAATAAAAATCTTTTGTACCCTACCTCCTTCAACAGCTATTAATTCAATAATTCTTTAAATAACATTTAGGTGCATATGTTTAGACTCCTGAGTGCATTATGAGTTCATGCACCCACCCAAGCAGTTCGTAAAATGACAAAGGTATTTGACCGTATGATCTCACCAGGGATGTACTTATTTTTTAGTTGTGGAAGCAATCTTCTTATTCATTTCAATCTTCGTGTATAAATATTGTACCGAAGCGGCCGTAGGCACTACTTTAAAAAGTGCGTTAGGCGCTGCAGCAGATAGGGTTTAGAAGATTTTTAATTTAATTGAGAAACCTACAATCTAGAAGACCGTGGATATACACCTCGAATAATCTAAATATATTCTTTTGGGAAATTTGAGCTCAAACTCAACTCTATTGCCTAGTTATACATTGCGATATTACTTTCAATGAGTTTGTTAGAACTCAATTAATTTCGTTTAAAACTAACCTATTTTGTATTCTTCTATCCTTATATCCTCTAAGTAACTAATTTATTCAATAACAGTAAAAATCTGTGTTAATACAATTAAAAGTAAACATAATAAATCGAAATCATTTTAAAACGTAGGTCATACTTCGACACATATGGGCCAGACTCGATCGGAGTAAATCACGGTCACACAGAAAACCGGTGTTCAATTCTTTTGTTGCTTTTCACCGAGTGAGTGAGGTTATTAGAGCTCAACCCTCGCACCCCGTTCTCCCTGATCCTGGAGGGGGGAGCGACTCAAAGTGTGACAACGCACTTGTGACTCTTGAGCCGCAGGTGTCCATGAGCAGCGATGGTCACTTACCATCAGGTGACATGGCAGCTCGTTTACCCCTATGCCATAAAAACACTATTTCTTTTAAATTATTACATGATATTGTAAAATTACCTTGACAAGATCCTGTTCATACCAGCCACCACGATATCCGACTTCGGGATCCGATGGAGATTTCCTGAAGTTCCATATTCCATCTAAGTTTATTAAATCTCTAGTTTCCGTAGCTTGTGGATATAAGGCTCCCCCCGTGGTGGTGGTTTTCTTCTTTGGTACTTCGTTGATGGAATTGCCTGAGACTGACTCGGACACTACAACATTCGCTATACCCGATAGCGTAAGGAGGGTGACTAATAACTCCTTTGTTAACATTATATCTGAAACAAAAGAGGCATATCCTTAAGATTTCTTTACAGGTTACTTTTATTTCTTATTCTCATTCTGTAAATATTTTTACTTTTACTTTATTTACTTATTTTTTATTAAAATAACCAGCTGCTTTGTGTGATTGAGGTTCCCACAGAAATTAACGCGATCATGTAACAAGTATTATATTGCAACCTTTTGTAGTAAAAAGCACACCGGGCATTTTTCTAATTATTCAAAAAAAATGCAATATTTTTATGTTATAGGGTAAGCTGTACTATTGTTGGCACCCCATTAGACATTGACACTCTTAATTTTAAACAAAATATTAAGTGTTAAAAATGTTAAATCGATGCAGAAATTTTTAAGTTTTTGAAGCGTACACAAACCAACTTAACATTTTTATTACCATATAGTAAGTTAAGTAAAACTAAACTTAGTTATAATGGTAATGTTTATACTAACTAATTTTCATTAAACTTGTTAACTTATGATTATTTATATATAAAAAAATGGTAATTAAAAGTTAGTGCCAATGACTGACCAAAGAATCGTTAAAGTGCCAATAATTGTATAGTTTACCCTTTATAATATTATTAACTTCAGTAAGTTTATGTTTTGAAAGACAGTAAAAAATAACCAAAGTAATACAGAATGATGTCACCACAAATATCCTGTAGGAAGTATTCGTGGGCATTAGAAGCCCTTCATTAGAATGTAGCATAATGATATACTATATTCTATTATTGATATATTTATATAGTAACAACAACTCTAAGCAAAAGGTTCAGCAAAGGTTTAGAGCAGTTTAAATATTTAGAAAACTCGTTTGTTACCTATTCATACATTAAAGCATGTCAGTGCGAACTCAAAAGAGGTAAGTTGCTTTACCTATCCAAGATTTGTATTTATATTATTATGGGATTATCTATTACTCTTCTCAATTTTTTGTCAACTTGACATTTTATATACTCGAGCTTGTCCATGTAGGTCTTTCTAGAATTAACATTTCTAAAGTACAAACCGATTTTTTTTTCACGCCAAATTTGGTACAGAGATTGATTATTATTATAGTCATATATGTACATTACATCAACGTGAGCCAAGCCTCGGATAAAAGCTAGTTATGTGAACAGTAAACGTTCAAAATAGTTTTTTAAAGAAATGATACATGAATACACTGCAGCTGAAATTTAATTTGGAAATCAAATTAAGCATGTAACTTAAAATTATACAAGACATGTAATATAATTTTTAAATTTATCAATTTGTTTTAACTTTCAATACCTAGAAATTGTCTTTTGAGTGGTTTTCTTTAATGAAATTATCTTGGAGAATCAAGCATAATTCTCTAGCAATAATCAGCTGTCCCATCTGCCTTGATATCTATTCTCTATCGTCTTTATTTCTTGGTGGAAACGTTTATCTTCTTTGCTCTAGATCCCCTAAATTATGTTGAAAGTGATCTATGTCTATGGAGGTAGTGTACTTTTATGCTCACATTACAGGCTAAGCTTTTTAAGCTATGCAGTATTTCCTTAACTAATTCCATATAGTTGTCATCCCTTAATTTCCAAATATTTTTTGTACAACTACCAAGAACGAACTGAAAAGACACTGAGACTGCTACAAAAGAACCACTTTCACACAAGTCGTTCCACATCAGTCTCTATGGCTGCAAAATTTATTGTGTCATTAATTAATTGACGTATTGGAGGTTCACTAAAAATACCTGCTTTCATTTCTCATTATTTAAGACAGGAAATTTGTAAAAAAACTGAAAGCATCGACCATTTCTATCTAGAGCTTTGACTAATTGTATCATTAATCATATGCACTCCAAACTTCAAAGACTTTCTCCCATTGCACTATGGAAAATCGAAGTCTGTTTCAGATCAAAAATCGATAACTGTTTATTGTATGTTTTTTTCCTCCTGCAATGTATGAAAGTAATAATTCACGCCTAGAACACTTGAAAGTAGTAAACATTTTGAAATTCAGCGAAGATACGAAAGAAGTCAAACGTCTGTTTAGTTTATTACGAATTTGAATTAGGGGCATTAAAGGAAGCCACTCTTTATATATTATTTGATAAATGAGGGTTGTGTGCATTTTGTTTATTAAAGTTGACGGCAAACTGAGTGCAAAATGTAGATAAAAGGCCCTATTATCAACAAACAACTAATATTGAATAAAAATATAACGCAAACTAATCAATTAAATAGTTAGACAAAAGAAACCACAATAGATAGTGGTTTTCTGTTTCCTGACTTGTATCATACTTTTCGTGATAAATTCGGAAACCGCACGTATCCGCAGCTGATTTTTATAACTGTTATTTATGAATATCTACGCTATAAAACAACATCAAATGTAAAGTGTCGGGAGTTGTCGGTAACTGTCAAAGGCCTCGATGAAATTAAAAAATTGACCTTTATCCCCTCACTATTTGCTCATATTTTTTCATAGAAATATAATAATAAAACCTACAATATTATATTGCTCTAAAATCTACATACAATGGACTTTTTAGAAATGTTTATAACAATTGCCACAAAGGACAATGGCAGGTCCCCATACATAATTTTATTTGAAGTGAAATGACAGCGTTTAAATATAAAAAATGCCTACAACCCTTGAGAATTTATTCTTGAACATTCTCATAAAAAAATTACTAGCGAAAGAAGTCTAGGAAAAAAGATATTGGATTTTGAATGTTTCGAGGTTAAGTACTAAAATATTGTAAATGTTTTGTTTGAAACTAGATGGCGTTGTGTGTCATATATTCGAAAATATTATTCATCATTATTATTACTTATAAGCAACCCTATTTTGCTGTAGAAAGTGTTAGCCGACTCTCTAAATGGGTGAAGGAAGGAAGGGTATTTGCTTGGCATGTATTGGTAAACAATAGAAAAAAATCTTCGCTTACATAGCAGGTGTAATACTAGCTATAAATACATAAATTATTAATAATAATTTGAATTAATGTACTTCAATGCACATTTATACAAGGCGGGAGCATTTATTTAATTATTTAGTTATTCAACAGCCAGTAGTTGTGACATTATTTACTAAAATCTAAAGCATGCATCCATTATATTGAGATTATTGCACAACATTTTAAGGCATTACATCATGCATAATGGAGTAACACTATATAAAATTAGAATAAACATATATGAGAGTTTAATACTAAACAAAAGTAAAACAACCAAATAAACTACAATTGCCTTGTGAGAAATGGTATGTAAGTCATGCGTGTAAGTGTCAAACGACAAGACTATAGTCCGTCAACGTCGTGCGCGACCGTCCCGCGGGGTGACAGACGGTGGCGGGGACGAGGTACTCACGCTGTCAGCGGGTAGCGGGTGGTGTAGCGGGGAAGGGAATCGTGTGTAGCCGTGTGCTAGAATGACGCGCTGCCTCGCCCCCGCCACTGTCTGTCACCCCGCGGGACGGTCGCGCACTAGATTGCCGGGTTATAGTAAGTGCGACGACGACGTATCGACATTTTAAAAATATCGATGCATGTCTATTTATATGCCGTTATCAACCTACAATGTCTTTTTCTCATCACACTAAGCAGTATATTGTTTTAGTATTTTTCTGTAGGAAAATAACGTAACTATATTCTATTTATTTTGGTGTAGCACAAATCTTTTAAAAAGAGTCAAAAATATTCTAAATTATTTCTAATTAGGTTGATTTAGTCACTAAAGTACTAGTTACGGTAGCGTATGAGTAAACCCGTGGGCAGAAGCAAATACATAATTATAATAGGTGAACCTTCGATAGGTATTTAAGCAAAAGTTATAACAATCGATTATCGATAAAACGTTCCATAATATAATAATATCATCACGCATCCCTAGTCAGTTCGTGATGGCGATTCTGACATTACGTACTTAGGTCAAATAAAATCTTTAAAAATATCCAATCTCTTATTAGACTTATACAACACATGGCGGTATAATGATAAATCATAGAAAAAATATTTAGTAAGTTTACTGTTAGTCAATTTTTTAAACGCTTCAGTTTTAGGTAAATATGTTTCTGCCATTGTTCTTTTTGAATTAAAATTATTTTAAAGTATTAAAGCGAACAAACCTGAAATAGACATTCTTAAGAATTACACTTTGTGGTATTAAAAAAAAAATCCAAATCACTCTTTTTTTTTTGAATACACAACTCCCGCACTAGGAATAAATCCTGTGTCGCGGGGGTGTTACAAACATACATGAAACGAACACAAAGGACACCCAGACTCAGAACAATAATTTGTGGATCACACAAAGTGCCGTCCCATATGGGAATCGGACTCACAGCACTCAGCGTAGTAGTAGTAGTAAGCGGCGTGGCGACCGCTTAACCACTACGCCATCCGTGCAGTTTTATTGAAGTTCTATTCTTATACTATTCAATAAACTTTTTAAAGTGCGTCAATAACGATATTAGTAAAAACGATTTTTGATATGCCGTTGTTCTACTATTTTCCATTGGCGCAATATAGGGCATTGGCGCAAATGTTCATTCAATGCATATTTTGCATACACAATAGTCTTTATCCTGATTTTGATATCAATGCCAAAGTAACCAAAATACCAGTGAAATTAAGTGCCTGTAATCGATTTTCGCTGAGTTTTCAGTATGTATTCACTACTAACATAAGAAAACATATCAGGATCGTTAACACGACATCTGGACACATACTAGCCATACTGAAATAATAAGATAAATTTTGTAGGCTTTATTGTAAGAATATTTTTTTTGGAAAAAAACAGATAAAAATTCAAAATGAGTGTAGTAGGTAAACTAGAGCTGATGAGTTAAAATGAACTATATCAATATATTGTGCTTTACATTCCTTATCGATACAAATTGGCCTGCACCAAATACAAATTGATTTTTTGTAGGTCTGTGTAATCAATTAGTTAATATTATTATTTTTACTTAACTATTAGTGGCTTTATTCAGGTATAAAAGTTTATCAGCATCACTTTTAG